CCCGCGCCTCCCATTGTGCCGTGGCACTTGCGTTGCGCTCGCAACCTCCGCCAGCGTCGTCGCCATGGACCTAGGTGGGTGCACGGCTCCCCTACCCAGGCCCGCCAGGGCCGCATCCCTCAACGCGCCTCCCAGGCAGAGCGGTCCGACGTGCCCGTCTAGCTGTGCACGCCCGCGCGGGCCCGGGCCAAAAAAACTTCCGGGCTGGGAGTGTCCTTGGAGACCCGGCGGCGGGAGGCCCGGCTCTGGTCTAGGCCTCTCTGCCCCTTGCCCTGCTTCTTTCCCTCTTCCGCCCCCTTCCCCTTTCACGGGGAAAATCCCTGCGAATGTGTGTGAAGTTGGATCCCCGAGATGTAGCCGTGGATGTGCACGTGCTTTGGGCCATGCTGTGCTGGCAGTACGCGCGGGGCGAATCACGGACGACCTGACGGTCTCATGTATTGAACATCAGCTAAGAACTTGAGCAAGTTCACTATCTGTACCCCGGGACTCATCGATAAAATGGGGATAATGATACTTTCTTCCTCCCAGAGCTTCTAGGAAGTTTTCATTGTGGCCACGTGCACGCAGTATTGGGTATGGTGCGGTGGAGCAGGGCGCCTCGCGTCCAGATCGCAGTTCTGGGGAGGGGTTCAGCGGCCGAGGTGGCGCTTGCTGATGAACCTGCGTGCAGCTTCTTTCCAAGGAGATCTTGAAAGAGGGAGGGTGGAGCTGCTAGAAATCGATGGCACCTTGCCAAGCCTCCGCACCCTCCTGGGTGTGCTCTTAAGAGGGAAGGGCTCTTAGGAGGCTGTCAGAAGAACCAGAGGTGCGGCCCCAAAAGACATGCTAATAATAGTAGACTTTAAAGACTTGTGGCTTTCCCCAGAGCAAGCTCTGCAGTGGTGCAGTAGCAAAGCTTGAAGAGTTTGTGGAATCCTGCAACTGTGGCATTTTGCCTCCATCACACCACTTTGTGGTTGTGGACGCCCTGAGCAAATTGTGCCTGAGCCTTAATGTTCCCAACTTTAAAACAGGAATCATAATAATAATCTTCAGAGAGTTGTCTTAAAGATTAAAAGATTTTATACGTGTACCACGTAGTGCATTGCCTGCCAGAGTTAAGCAAGCACTTAACAAAAGAAGTAGGCACTCGCCTGCACCAGTTAACCGTTAGAGATAAGCTGTTAACTGCTCTTGGGGCTTTTTCTAGTAGCATGTGTACCTAGTGTCTGGAAGGCAGGTGTTGGGGGCCAAACATCTGCTGAGATGTTAGTGCAATAAAGTTGAATTTACAGAGTGACAAGGAAATGTGCTTTGCGCCCCTGGGAGATCATTCTGATCAGAAAGAAGGGCTCCAACTCCCAGAAAGACCCTCCCCCCAGTAACCTAGACCCTGGGAGTGTGACCTGGACACTAGGAGCCAAGATGGGATTGCTTTCATAAGTGGGTTATGTAGCAGTGCTGATTCTTGGCCATTTATACTCACATAAAAGTTGACAGGGTAGGACATTCTTTAGACTTCTAGAATCAGTACTTTTGTGCAGGCTTCTGGCCTGTAAAAATGGGAAAGATGTGATCTTGAGGGACCAAAGGGCTGGTATGTCTCATCCCCAGGGAAAGGGAGAAGCATTAGGAGCACTGGTGTTGTGAGCAGTGGTTGTACTCTAATTTTAGTTTCTGGGCCAAAAGAAACATGGTAGAGTTATGTCCCAAGGTGGACATGGTAGCCCACATTTGGGATCCCAGTTACCTAGGAGACTGAGACAAGAGGATTGCAACCTCAAGGCCAGGCTGGGGAACTTAGATCTGTCTCAAAAATAAATAAAAAGTGCTGGGGATGTAGTCCTTCCTAGGTTCATCCCTAGTACCTGTCCTTTCATGATTCTTCTGTTTTTATTTTGTTTTGTTTGAGACAGAATCTTGCTGTGTAGTTCAGGCTGGCCTTGAAACTCACTGTGTAGCCCAGGCTGGTGTCGAACTCTCAGTGATCCTCCTGCCTCAACCTCTCAAGTAGTGGGATTACAGGCATGAGCCACCATACTCTGTTTATGGCTTTTTTGGGGGTCAGGAGGCAGTACTGGGAATTGAATCCAGGGTCTTGCATATGCTAGCAAATGGTTTACCACTGCCTTTCATGTTTTTAGGAAGAGTGACAAGATTCTGTTCCCCTGCTTCCTGCCTCAAAAGCGCAAGGACCTGAGTTTGATCCCTGGTACACACACACACAAAAAGAGAGATTCTGATCCTAACAACAAAGGAAAAATTTGGAGAACCAGCATTTACTAATATTTAATCAGGTAATTGACCTGATTTTTAAATTTTTATTTATTTATTGGTACCACGTATTGAACTTAGGACCTCAAGCTTGCCAGGCAGGTGCTGTGCCACTGAGCTAAATCCCTGGCCCAATGGCCTGATTAAAGGGGCAGGGAAATAGATGGGGCAGGGAACACACACACACACACACACACATCATTACTTTTGTTTTTTCGAGTTTTTTAATTTTTTAAGTTAATTAATTAATTAATTTTTTGGTACCAGGGATCAAACTCGGGACCTTGTGCTTGTGCTACTGAAGCGAGCACTGGACCTTGTGCTTGTGAGGCAGGCAGCAGCACCACTGAGCTAAATACCCTTGTTTTTTGAGACGGTCTATGTATTTCAGGCTGGCCTCAAACTTGGGCAGTCCTCCTGCCTCAGCCTCCTCAGTGCTGGCATCACAGGTGTGTACCACCACTCCCATCTTGCTTTTTGCTGAAGGTCAAACCCAGGGCCTCATAGGCTATGGAAGCACTGGACCACTAAGCTGCATCCCTAGGCCTAATCTGATTCTAAACCCTTACCCTCTCCCATCCTTGGGAGATGAGATTAAGAGATTAAACAGCAGCACTCCAGTGCCAAGGGTTTGGCTAGTATATAGCATTTGATCCTCAGTTATACCATGAAGTCTGTATTACACACATGTATGCAAAAGGGAGACTCAGAAGTAAGCTGCCCAGATCACATAGCTTTCTAATGGCTGAACTAGGATTTAAATCATTTCTGGTTAAACTTCAGGATGTCTTTCATAAGTCTGTGGAAATAATTTCATTTTTTTACCTGGTACAGTGTGTAGCTGCCTCCTGGTTTCTACCACAGAAGCAAAGCCATGAGTTACCTGGTTTTTTGTTTTATTTATTTATTTATTTATTTTTTTGACTGAAAGGAACTGTGGGCTGAATTATTTGCCTGAAAGGCAGAAGAATGTTTGAAACCCATTGTAAGGCTATGAGAAAAAAGGGAAGGGAGGGCTCATCTGATTGCTTCTGTGTCTGTGGCTCTGGGGCTGTGCCCTCCATCTGTATCATCACTGAGACGCACAGTTGTGTCCAGAATATACTTGGTGGCCCCTGTCATTTGGTACAGTCCTTGTGCTCTTTCTAAACCTTTTTCCCCAAGTGCTCCAAAGGCTGCCCTTTGCAGGAAGCTCTAGCCACAGCAGTGCAGCTTTTCTTTTCCATACTCTTCCCAAGGGATCTCATTCACTTCCTTAGTTCCAGTGAGCCTCTCTGGTCCCAGATTCACATTTCAGGCCTGATTCCGTCTGAGCTCTAGCCCTGCAGTGTCATTGCTGGAGGACACTTCCTAATATTCTACCTCACACTCCCAAGTAACCAAGAAACTGAATGTCTCTTCCCTCCATACCTGTCCTGTGTTCCCTGTTTTTTGTGAATGTGTAGTATATGTACTTCTGGGGATTGAGCCAGGGCCTTTGCATTTGCTAGGCAAACACCCTACCACTGAGATGTAATTTTATAAAATTTTATTTTGAGAGTGTCTTGCTAAGTTGCCCAGGCTGGCTTCAATCTTGTGATTCTTCTGCCTCAGCTTCCTGCTGCAGCCCCCACAGTATCTGGAATTAACAGGCACGTGTCACCACACCTAGCTCTCAGCTGTGTTCCCTAATTCTTTCCCTCTCTTCCTTTCTGCCATACTGGAGATCCATCCTATGGCCTTGTGCATGCTAGGAAGTGCTCTACCACTACCTATACCCAGCTATGTTCCATTTCTGTTGGTACCTGTTGTCCTCCCCTTTCCCTGGCTAGGAAGTCATTTTCTGTTCCTCAGCTAAGTCCTAATGACTCCAGCTCACAGTGGCTCTTATAACCATCCCTTTTCCTCCTTTCTCACTGATGTCAGTTAAAGCCTTTATCTTATCCAACTTTGATAAATGACAGCCAACCTAATAACTGCTAACTTTGCTATTTTGAAAATTTTTTATTACATTCTCTTTACTTGACTTCTCTGTATATAGGACCCTTCAATATCTGTGAAGAAATGACTATTCTACATGGGGGATTCTTGCTGGCTGAGCAGCTGTACCGACCCAAAGCATTGGCAGAATTAACAAAGTCTGACTGGGAACATGTTGGGCAGCCCATTGTGGAAGCCTTGAGGGAGATCTGCTCGGCCACAGTGCATTCCCAGCCACTTGCCTGGAAGAAGAAAGCTCTGATCATCATCTGGGCCAAGGTTCTTCAGCCCTACCTTCTTACTCCTCCTGACACTGAAACTCGGTGGCAGGAAGATGTGTTCTTCTCTGTAGGCAACATGATTCCTACTATCAATCACACAGTCCTTTTTGAGCTGCTCAAGTCTCTGGAAGCTTCTGGACTCTTCATCCAGCTCCTGATGGCCCTGCCTACCACTGTCTGCCGCACAGAACTAGAGCGCTTTTTGGAGCACATGACTATAGACACTTCCTCCACGGATGTGGCCTTCTTCCTTGATGTGTGGTGGGAAATGATGAAACACAAAGGCAATCAGCAGGATCCCCTGCTCTCTCACTTTAGAACCATGGCCCAAAAGTACTTGTCCTCTTCAGATGAGTTCTCCCATCCTCCAAAGAGGTTTAAGTCAGATTCAGATGTGTGTCCAACCTTGCCTTTGTTGGCTATGTTGCTTAATGGACTGAAGCAAATCCAGAAGAGAATCCTGTGCCTTGAAATGAAGTGCTGTACATTGGCCAACTTGGCTGACATGCTGACCGTGTTTGCCCTGATGGAGGATGACCCCCAGGAAGTTTCTGCGACCATGTATCTAGACAAACTGGCCACAGTGATCTCCGTGTGGAACTCAGACACCCAGAACCCATACCACCAACAAGCTCTGGTAGAGAAAGTAAAGGAGGCAGAGAGGGATATCAGCCTGACCTCACTGGCCAAACTACCCAGTGAGACCATTTTCCTTGGATTTGAGTTCATGCACAGCCTGCTGCAGGAGTGGGGTGAGGAGCTGCAGGCCCTGCTCAATAGCATCCAGGGGATAAATTACGATAGCTACCGGCTATGTGACAGTCTGACCTCTTTCAGCCAGAACTTGAAGCTGTACCTGGATACCACCAGCTTGTCCAAGGAAGAGAGGCAGGTGGTCTCTGAATTGGCTGAGTGTGTCAAGGACTTCCTAAGAAAAACCAGCATGGTACTGAAAAACAAAGGTTTTGAGGACATTACTGCTTCTATTGCCATGGCCATTATTGAGCAGAAGATGGACCGGCACATGGAAATGTGCTACATTTTTGCTTCCGAGAAGAAATGGGCCTTCACAGATGAGTGGGTGTCCTGCCTGGTTAATAACAGGGCTCTCTTCCGAGAGCCAGACTTGGTTCTAAGGCTCTTAGAGACAGTGATGGAAGTCAGCATGACAGACAGAGCCATTCCTCAATCCCAGATTAAACAAGTGATCGGCTTGATCCTAGAGTGCTATGCAGATCTCTCGCTGCCAGACAAAAATAAAGTGCTCTCAGGTGTCCTTCATTGTTGGGGACGAAAAGGCCTCTCTGAAAGGTTATTGCCTTACTTGGAGGGTTTTCAGGAAGACCTCAATATGATGTTCAACCAGCTTGCACAGAGTACCTCTGAACAGGGCCTGGCTAAAGCAGTAGCCTCTGTGGCCCGCTTGGTAATACTGCACCCAGAAATCACAGTGAAGAAGATGTGCAGCATAGCTGTGGTCAATCTTGGTACTCAGAGGTTCCTAGCTCAGATTCTCACTGCCTTCCCTGCTCTTAGGTTCACAGAAGAGCAAGGGCCAAATCCATCCACCACTTTCGTGGTGTCATGCCTCAGAGAAACTGTCTGGACAAAGTTCTCTACACCTAAGGAAGAAAAGCAGTTTTTGGAGCTCTTGAGCTGCCTGATGAGTCCTGTGAAGCCCCAAGGGATTCCAGTTGCTGCTCTTCTTGAGCCAGATGAGGTGCTAAAGGAATTTGTCCTGCCTTTCTTGGCGCTGGATGCTGTAGAGGTAGACCTAAGTCTGAAAATCTTCATCCAGACTCTAGAAGCAAATTCGGGCCTAGAGGAATACTGGCTCCAGACCTGTTCTCCATTCCCCCTCATCTTCAGCTTGTGCCGGCTCCTGGATAGTTTCAGCAAATACTGGCAGCTCCCTCAGGAAAAGCGGTGCCTTTCTTTGGAGGGGAAGGATCTGGTGATCCACATCCTGCAGCTCCTCTGTGAGATTGTATTAGCAAATGCTGAGACCTTCTCCCCAGACACCTGGATCAAGTCCTTGTCCTGGCTCCACCGGAAGTTGGAACAGCTAGACTGGACTGTAGGCCCGAGACTGAAGAATTTCTTTGAGGGCCACTTTAAGTGTGAGGTGCCAACCACACTCTTTGAGATCTGCAAGCTCTCTGAGGCTGAGTGGACCTCTCAGGCATACCCAGGGTATGGGCCTGGCACAGGGCTTCTAGCCTGGATGGAGTGCTGCTGTATCTCCAGTGGGATCTCTGAGCAGATGTTTGCTCTCCTTGTGGTAGATGTGAGCAATCCTGAAGAGGTTAGATTGTTCAGCAAGGGCTTTCTGGTGGCCCTGGTGCAAGTCATGCCTTGGTGCAGCCCCCAGGAGTGGCAATGCCTTTACCAGTTGACTAGGAGACTATTAGAGAAACAGCTCCTGCATGTCCCTTATAGCCTGGAATATATTCAGTTTGTTCCCCTGCTCAACCTGAAGCCCTTTGCCCAGGAGCTTCAACTCTCTGTACTCTTCCTGAGAGCTTTCCAGTTTCTCTGTAGCCAGAGCTGTCGTAACTGGCTTCCTATGGAAGGGTGGAATCATATAGTCAGACTCCTCTGTGGGAGTCTGACCAACCTCCTGGACTCAGTTAGGTTGATACAGCCAGTTGGCCCTTGGGCTCAAGGACAAGACCAGGACCTGACCCAGGAAACCCTGTTTGTTTATACTCAGGTGTTCTGTCATGTTCTGCATATCATGGCTATGCTCCCCCAAGAGACCTGTGAACCACTCTATGTGTTGGCCTTGGAAGTCCTCACCTGCTATGAAACCCTGAGCAAGACCAACTCTTCTGTTAGCTCCTTGCTCCAGAAGGTAAATGAGCAGCACTTCTTAAAGTCCATTGCTGAGAACATTAATCCCAAGGAGCGGCGCCAAACCCTGCTGCAGAAAATCAGCAACTTCTGAGCTTTGCAGGTCAGAAAAGCTGGGCCCCAATATGATGGTTCTGTAGGGGCTAAAACTGAGAAGTACAAGCTTTCCAGTTATATTACATTGTACACAAGATAAAAGGCATATGGCAATAAGAGTGTAAAGAAAATAGTTTCTTAGGTATTTGTAACATACAAACGAATAAAACTCTCTTGTCTTGAGTCCTAGTAATAGTTTGGGATTAAATACACTATAAAATTGAATTTAGATCATCTTTAAGATCAAACTGGGAGGAATATTTTCATAACTGAACTTCCTACTCTAGATTTTGGCAGATAAGCCCGAAAGTGGAACTACCTGAATTGAAAAATATTACAGGGTATGTTCTTTTAAATTGAGACCCTTGGACTGGGGATGTAGCTCAGTGGTGCTGTGCCTTACTGGCAAGCACAAGGTCCTGAGTTCAATCCCTGGTACCCACAAAAAAAACTGAGACCCTCTTCAGGAGTCATTTCAGGGCTGGAGATTTAGCTCGGTGGTTCTGCTGCCTGCTTTGCAAGTGCAAGGTCCCAAGTTTGATCCCCGGTATCAAAAAACCAAAAAAAGTCATTTTAACATTTAATACTTTTTCATGAGGTGTCTTGGATAGGCCACTAACTTGGAAAGCAGTGTTCTTCTAGCTCTAGCTCTACCTCTGAATGGCTGTGATTTGTGTGTTCAGGAGGCCTGCACCAAGAAACACTTCAGTGTTCTTGATGATCTCAAGAAAGTGTGTGCTGCAGGGCAGACTGCCATCCAGCCCTGACTCTGTCCATTTGCACAGACAGGGCTGTGCTGAATCCAGGGCCGGTGAATGCCTGAGATGTGCTTAGAGGATGGGTATAATTGCCTTTTGCCTAGGGTTCATTTGTCATGGTTTTGATGAATGAGTGGGATCAGGGAATGATGTGTTCAGAGCAATTTTAAAAAATGAGAATTTAGAGGCTGGGGCTGTAGCTCAGCGGCATTGTGTCTACCTCACAAGCATAAGGTCCTGAGTTCAATCCTCAGTACCAGGGCAAAAAAAGAATTTAAGGTTTCTAGGGCATTACAAAATTATAACTGGTTGGAGATGGTGTTTTGGGAGACAAAAGTCCCATCATTTGCATATCCACACCCTCATTCAAAGTAGGGCGCTACTCAAATTCCCTCCATCTAAGCAAACTGCTTGGTGACCAACAATAGGGCTTCCTTGCATCTTCATAGTTCCTCCCTGAGATTCACTTGTGAAGACAAGACCTAAAGTTACATTTGACCATTGGGCTTGATCCTGGGAACCTTCAATGTACTTGTACAGTTGGTTCACTGATATAAACCAACATATCAGTAAGGTATGACTCAAGACCTCCCTGGAGGCTGAAACCATTAACACGCACCCTTTCCTTGTTACATCAGCAGGAACTACAGCATATGACAGCCAGCCCACTTAGGTCACAGTATGGTTATTACAAAAGTCAGTACTGAACATTTCACAAATGAGAATAAGTTGGGAAATTAGTGCAATTTAATCACCACATGGATGACCTGTAATAGTGACGTAAACAAAACAGTCATTAAACACAAAACCATACCGTTCTGTTTTTAAATGGCACCTATTAGACTGAAACAGTCAAAATTTGAGACACTTACATAATCATTCAGTCCTTTAAAAGTTTGTAGACAATGAATTAAAGGCACTTTTTAAAAATTCTAGTCTTACTACCACTTGAAAAAAAGTCCTGGCAGTAGAGTCAAAACCCATCCTAGTTATAAGGAATGATTAGTGTTGGCACCAGAAGATCCTATCTGCAAATGGGTATGAAGGCGCTGGTCCACAGGAGCCTTTTTGCAAATGGGGGTGAAGGTGCTGGTCCACAGGTCATAATGGCTGCTCTCTTGTTCTCCAGTCTTCTGTAGCAAAATGGCAGTGTACTCAACATAGGAATGGGTTCTGGTGTATTAGGAGGCTCTAGGGAAAGGACTCTGGTCTAGATGAGACGTCTCACGTCTATAGTACAGAATTCCATTTTTACTTCATATGAAAAGCACATTGTCAGAGTAGACAGAGTCAGTCACCCAGTAAATAGCTACTAAAACCATCATTTCACTTTGCCCTTATTGTTTTGAGGTTTTGTCTCTTTTTTGGCTTTTTGAGACAGGAGCTCACCATGTAGTTCAGGCTGGCCTTGAACTCAATATATAGTCCAGGCTGGCTTTCAACTCAGTGGTCCTCCTGCCTCAGCCTCCTGAATGCTGGCATCACAGGCATGTGCCACCGCACACAGCTTTCCTTTTTTGTGGTACTATGGGTTGAACTCAGGGCCCCTGTACTGACCTACATCCTCAGTCCTATTTAAAAAAATTATTTTTTCGAGATGGTCTAAGTTCCCTAGGCTAGGCTCAAACTTGCCAACTTCCTGCCTCAGCCTCCAAGTGCTAGATGACAGGCATATGGTACACCTGGCTTGCCCCTGTATCTCCTATACATATGGATATAGGAGAAACTAGGCATGAGGAGTCATACTAAAATGGGAATAGAATTTGTGACGGCTTGCAGCAGGCTCACACCTTTAATTCTGGTCTTTTACCAAGTCAGCCTGCCAACATTGTGCCAACTTCTCTTGGCCTCCCTACCTACTCAAATGCTTCATGTTGCCAGCCCTTCCTCCTACCCATTGCCACTGATACTTCTGAAACATGGGAATTCAGTGGTGACACATGGATGACAGGATGAAGCAAAGAACTGTTAATGGACTATCTAGTAAACAATAAAAACTACATACCCACCATGATCTTCCCAGGCCAATGATGCAAGAAGACATTTTAAGAACCAAGTCATCATTTGCTTCTGCTGGCCCAGTACTGTGGGTACTGCCCTGAGTACTTGGGAAAGTAGGTAGCCACTAATATAGGTGAGTGCCCAGACACTTAGCACTGTGTTCTACCAACCTCTGTGTCCCATGCTTCAGCCTCCCAGAGCTCTTGAGAGAAGACCCAAGGAAGGATCCCTGGGCTTATAGTAAAACAACTTTGCTGCTAACAGAGAGCTGACAGCACCCAATAGCTGTTAACAATGAAAAGTGCTTTTGCAAAAAGGCAGGTTAGAAGAGGGAGGTAATAGCAATATTTTTAAAGAAAAACTCAGAGCCATCGCTTATCAATACCCAAAAGACTGAGGCCACCTGGGGCACAGTTTGGTCCATGGAATACTGAGTGGAGGAGGCAGCTAATGTGAGGAGACACTCACTGCCCAACTTCTGGGGATCTTTAACCATCCTTTTTGTCTTGGGGAGTGTCAAAGAGCCGGAGTGCCTTCTTGCACAGCAGAGAGAACCAGTAGATCTGGGGAGCGATGAGTAAGGCATTGGCCACATTGCAGAAGAAAGGGATATTATATGGTACTTGGAGCAGGCTTAATCCCTCTTGTTGGCCATAGGACCAGTACATGAAGGGGAAAAGAAGGATCCGACAGCAAAAGAAGCTTATTAGTGTGACAATTCCATTCACCTTATACAAAAGGGTGTGCTGCTGCTTTCGCTGTCAAAGAAGGAGAAAGAGAATATGAGGTCAGTGAGAGAACAGGCCATCAGGGAATGACTAGCCCAAGGTTCGCAATGGAAAAGAACAGCAAGTGCATGTACTAATCAAGATCTGGGCTGTCAAACTGCTTATACCTATACATGCATCTAGTGTTCTGACACCTGAAGAAAAAATTCCTGAGCATTGGTGTATTCATACCCTATCCATAGCCTCAGTTTCTCCAATAATGTTGAGTTTGGCCTAAGCCACCCAGTGATGGGAGTATAGGAACAATGGACTGGAGAAATTTTTGGCTAGGGGAAAAATATAACGAGCAGTATCAAGCTTGGGTCAAACCTACAATTTCACCTCCATTGGCTTGGATGACCACCTGACCTTTAAGTCTGTCAAAAGGTCTCCTATTCCGTTATTCCTAGCATCGAGAGATTTCTCCAAACCCTACAGTCTCCAAACGAAAAAGCATCATCTACTGCTTCCTTGACTATTTCTGACATTTTGTTCATACATGCCTGAATCAGAACTCTGCCCAGTGACACAAATGGAGTGCTCAGTTCTGCTGTGAATATGCAGCCAACAAAGAAGTCTCCAAGCTCTCCCCGGAAACTCTGGAGGAAGAGGAAAAAAACAAAGTGTAAGTTAAACACTGGATAACCCAAGTGTGGTGGCACATATCTGTAATCTCCCCCAACACGGGGAAGCTGTTTTTCATGGATGTGCAACCCTTCTGCTACAAAGAAAAAAAAAGGAATGCAAGTTCAAGCCCAGCTTGGGCAATTCAGCAATTTACTGAGACCCTCTCAAAAATTAAAAATAAATAAAAAGGGTTGGGGGTATAGCTCAGTGCAAAGGTCCTGAGTTCAATCCCCAGGATGAAAGAGAAAAGACCACTAGATACAGTCAGAAATGATGGCACATGCCTCTAATCCCAGCTACTCTGAAGTATGAAATAGGAAGATTGTAAGTCTCAGGCCAGCTTGGGTAATTTAGAGAGACCATGTCTCAGAAAATAAAAAAGGTTGCTGGGAATGTAGCTCAATGGTAGATTACTTGCCTAGCACATACCATACCCTAGATTTAATCTCACCCACACCCCTCGAAAAAAGAAAGACCAAGGAGAGAAAAAATGCTAAATAGGCAAGTGTACACCCACCCAGTTAGTATTTTGCTGCTTCCATAGCAATAGACTTTGATGATCCAATCCCTAGGACCTACAGGCAAATCCTTCTTTGAGTTTCAATGTCAGCTGGAAGGAGGAACTCTGTAGCCTACTTTTATGTATCTAATTTAATCATGCTAAAGGCACTGAGCCTGTGCAGCTCAACAAAATATGTGCTAGATGGTAGGGTCCCAGAGCAATAAACACAAACTCCTTAAAGAATTTCAAGTAATCTACTTCTTTTTCTAAGGAAGAAATCTAGTATAGTAGGACCTCTGTCACTTTTACCACCAAGTGAGATAATAAACTCTTAGAGCCCTTGTTTCTTCATTAATCATATAGGGCAAATAATTTTTTTAAATTAATTTTACTGGTACATTTAAAGTATACAATATAAAGGCATTCATCGGAAATTTGCACCTTTACATAATCCATCTTGATTCTTATTTTAGGGCAAATAATTTCTAATATGAGCTTTTAGATCAAGTGCCTGACAACTGATAGGCACCCAAGAATTCCCAGTTTCCTCTCTGCATTCACATTTCTCTTCCTTATTGGATGGGTTTGTTGTTTTGGGTTTTTTTTTTTTTTTTTTTTTTTTGGTTTTTTTCTTCTGCAAACTTGAAATCCTCCAGCCTCAGCTTCCTAGGTAGGTGAATTTATAGGCATGTGCCACCATGACTGGCTTGGGTAAGTTTTTTGTTGTTGTTTTTGTGGTACTGGGGATCGAACTCAAGACCTTGCACTTGGGAGGTTGCCCGTTTTGTTTTTTTGACACAATGTCTCCCTTGAACTCACTATGTAGCCCAGGCTGGCCTCAAACTTGCAGGGATCCTGTTGCCTCAGCCTCCTGAGTGCTGGAATTATAGGTGTGCACCACCATGCCCAGCACTTGGGTGAGTTAATAGGAAAATTATTCTGGAGAGACTTTATGAAATTATTTGATTTTGAGAATCCGTTTTTATGACATGAAACTATTGCTCCCCCATCCTCTTTGATAGTGTTACACTGTTTCATATTATATTTTTATCATTTATACACTGCACTGAATTAAAGACAAGTTTTGAAAAACACTAAGGAATGAGAAGGCTGGAGATTGCTAAAAATGTGAGCCAGATGTGGTGGCTTAATTCTGTAATAGTGAGTCAAGGCCAGTCTGGGCTGCATAACGAAACCCTGTCTCAAAAAACAAAAAAGAATAATGTCAGTAAAAATGATCATGAACATTATAGATTTAATGATTTTTCATCTACTACTTGCATGGGGGATTAGACTGATAAAGCAGCTGGCACAAGAGGATGGGTATGATAGAAAAGGAGAGGAAGACAGGCAACCCTGACTGCTAAGGAATGATCAGGACACCCTGCTTAACAGAAAATGAGCACCCAAGGCTGCTCCGACAAGGCCATACCTGTGCAACCGGCACAAGGACAAAGAGAATAACCATATGGTGTGTGATCATAAGGCAGTTTTGACTCAGGAAATTTCGAAAAACGAAGGAGTGTCCAGGATTCTGCTCTTTGTTTCGGCACCAATCACAGAGGTACATGGCATAGCAGTCATAGACCATGTAAGGAATCAAAAACCAGACGTATTCTCGGGCAAGCCAGTGCCTGAAACAAAGCATATGGATGGATCTGTGAAATAATTACTGTGTCAATTAAGAGTAAAAACCAATCTCTTCTAAATCATGTTCCTTTACCTTTCTACTTAACCAGCAGTTATTATTCCAAATACTTTGTAATGAAGATGCTGAAACTGATAAATATGGACAGTGGACAACTTTCACTGAATTACAGGGCAAAGTAGTAGGAATTCACTCAGTGAATTTAAGTGTGTTGTAAGTAGCTTGCTATTACTATTTGCCTTTGAGCTACTCATTTATAATGCATTTCTGGCATTTTGTAATATAAGGTGACTTTGACATAGATAAATTTACAAATTTACAACAGCCCCACCAAGAAACTGGTTTAGAAGGTGTTCCCAATCACAAATCCAAACTTTCTAGTTTAACTCCTTAGTTGCTCAATAGTAGGGAGTTTACAACTTAAACCCCTGAACCTCTGAGCCTTCTTTTAATCTACACATAACTCTACTCTAGGGAGACAGAAGCAACCCTGGCCAATCCCACTTCTACTCATTAAGAAAAGTAGGTCTGGAAATGAGCCTGAGACTCAAAAACTATGTGATAGTAGTTACATATGAGGACAGGGGAATGTGGGACAAACATCAGTATTCCCATTTACTTGTCCAGTGCAAGAGCCAGGGACTTAGCACTGAACCTGCCTCACAAGTGCAAGGCACTGAGTTCAATCCCTGGTACCATAAAGGAAAGTCCACATTTGTCCAGTGCAACTGAATCAGTATTTGCTTAATCAAAATGATAGTTTATTGCCTTCTAGAGTACATTAGAAGGCAAATCTCCACAATTAATAGTATCGTTACCAATGCTAAATATCTTCTATAAAAAATCATGTAAACAATCCATCTAAATTGAAATTATGCACCATGCCAGGAAAGGTTACATTCATTCACTCAGCATGTTTTTGTTTTTGAATATCCATATGATAGGTAAAGGAAGCCAATTTTATGATTCTCAAACTGCCTGATCAGCAGAATCATCTGTATCAGAATCATCCTTTAACAATCATCTGCTTGTTAAGGGATCCACTCCAAGATTTCTAAATTGTACATGTCAGACCTCCAATCTGTACCTTAACCTTGTCTCAGTTGATTTTCTGAGGAGCCAGTGTACTGTACAGCAGCACTGGGAATATACTCTACAGCGGACTCTATGTAAATTTCAGTTCCTGAATAGCTGACTCCACACTTACCACAGCACAACTAATGAATAAACAATGAAATAGAGGCAGACAAGCAATTAGGGCAAATATAATACGCTTTTAGGTGCTTTAATTAGCCAGATTCCATCTGGACAAAAAGACACAATACTCATTCCCCTGCCAGTCAATGCTATCAGTTGCTTTTTTTTTTTTTTTTTTTAGTACTGGGGATCAACTGCAGGACCTTGCACTTATGAACAGGTGGCAACACCACTGAGCTAGATCCCTGGCCCTCATTTGCTTTCTTAAAGCAATTCCAAATTTAAAAACTAGAAAGAACTATTGAAAGCCTGGCTGAAAAGCTGACCTCTTCCCTTGAATGGAACCTAGTGTTTAATATTTTGCACCTAGAACTAATTCAATAAGATCTGAAACCACAATTCCTACTAGGTAGAATTCTCTAAAAAGGTATTTGCAAGAGATTTACATTATAATCTCAGCTACCACTAGCCTGTGATTTACATTTCTTTGTAAAATGAAGATGATAACCCTTATCTTACTCCCCAGATGGAGTCACTGTGAAGGTTAAAAAATTGAAAAATGTGAAAATCCTTTTAAATATAAAAAGCATTATCCAAATATAAATGTTTCAAGGCAGAAAATTGCTTAGGGCTGTAATTTAGGTCTGGAACCCTGGAAGAACCTGCTGAAATCCTTGGACTCCTACTACATTCAGCCTAAGATTTGGGATTTATAGATACCCCATCCTATAGACAGTCGAGATAGAATAAAATGAGACGGCATATAGCAGAAAAATATTGGGTGTGTAAACGTGTAGTCTGAGTCAAGGCCTTTAAAATAATGATACAGGTGTTTTATCACATCTTAATGCACCCACACAGAGGTGGAGGGAAAAAATGTGTCTTTCGCAAACAATAAAATCCAAGGCATAACGATACATAAATGAAGAAATCTGAAAATCATATTCAGGTTTGCTGCCATGCTCAACTGCTAAAACACATTAGTTCTAAGAGGCCAACGATGATGGGTGTTACAGAATCATAAGTTAATTATGCACGAATATCTTTTCCTGAAATGCATAGCAGTTGCTTCCTGCTCACCTTCACATTAACTTAAAACTAGTGCAATGGGGCCACATTTATCTTAGCTTAAGCATCTTTGCAAGGAAGCTGGTTTCAAGTTTGATCTGACAGTGCAGGCAGTGAGAGTACCTGCTACAAGACCAGAAAATGGTCAATTAAAATAAAAATTGAACCCAGCCAAGAAAATGCTTTTTACCTTTGGTGTATGTAATTAAGGTCATTTGGCCCATCTTCTCTTAGCATCTACAATTCATTGCCAATAACTAATTTGTTTAAAAAGAGGTATAAGAATAAAAGATAAAAATAGTAACAGCAAGATCAAACCAATTAAGATTGCAAGCCATAGGGAGACAGACTCTCCTGGAACAGGCTCTCCTGCCACCCAAATCTCAACAGGGCAGGATGTGGCTGAATCAACATGAGAGAGGAATCAGGAAAGGCTGGCCAACACAGCTGACTGTCACTCTCCTACTTAACTGGGAGCAAGTGCGGGTGGGTCTAAGATGACAGGTGAAAAAAGCGGCTAAAAAACAAAAAGTGCCACCTCTGTCCGTGTGTAAATACTAAAGAGAACAGATCTTTCTGATCTTTAATGTGTGATTTAAAAAAAAAAAAAACTGAAGCTGCAAACAAATGCTTATTTCCTGACCTGTCTCTATACTGATCTGGAACACTCAAGTCAGTTTTCTGAAGGCACCTGAAAACTCTTCACCTCTTTTACCAAATCCAAAGGGAAAACACAAGGGCAGCATCTGGAGGGAGAAGTGGTCCTGTCAGTACTACATGTATATGGTATCTCGACTAAGGAGTGGTCCAGACTGGGAACCGGTTCAGTGGGCACTTTAAAAGAACCAAAATTCGTACTCCAAGTACTTTTCACATTTATAAAGAAACTTGGAACAACGGACTACACTGCCCTCTAATACACCACCTTAAATCAGTCTCAGACTCTTGCTCTCACCATCATTTCTTCACTTTCCTTTTTCCTAGGCTAGGGGTGCTGAACGAAGCAAGGAGAGGAGGAAGGCACTAATTATGGTGCTCCAAGTTTCCCCATTTAGTCTATCAGCTACCTAACAGTATGTGCTGATAAAAAACTAGTGCCTGTGAGCCACTACAAGGTGAAAACTTCCAAGTTCCTTAACCCTGTCATTTGTATCTTTTTCACCTGGGACTGGATGTTACCTGTCTGAGACCACGTTGCTGCAGGAACGGATGATGATGATCCCTGCCCCAGTGGCCAGCACAGCCTGCACTGAAGAAACCACCCTAACGTGGGGCAGAGAAGGAAAATGAAAGAAAGCGCGTTCCATCAGTACTCCGGACAGCACAAAGCCAATCTCGCAACCTGACTTTCCCCGCCAGGCGAAGGAAAATGGTAGATGTGGGCTGCAGGCTCCGAGAGATGCACACATCCTTCCCTCCCCACCCGCACTCGTGGGGCAGCCCTCCACCCTGATCCTTCTGCCTCCACGAACAGGGGCTCCAGGAAGCTCTGCCAAGCGCGATACAGAGGGGCAGGGAGGCAGCCCCCTCGCTTCCTGTCGCCCCCCTTTTCCGCCCTCAGCCCCGCGTAGGGTAGGGCAGCGCCCAGGCGCTGGGC